CTTATAGAAAACATACTCCATCTTAAGCGTACGTGACAACACATTTTGTTCGCCATTGGATAATTCACACTTTTGAATGTTATATTCACTAGGGAAAATTTCGCATTCGTCGATCGAATCTCTATGTATTCGAGATAAAATAAAACTGTCACCATCGCACGGAATGGGGTCCACAGAGGTAAAAGTTGTCTATCACTGCTGGGCGTCATACATACTGGTGGTTATACAATGTTCTTTGGGGATGCTTACCCGTGACCCAACACTTGGTACCCTGGAGTACATTAGAATAAGTTCTTGGTAGGCAGACAAGACCCGCGTCCTTTGATAACCTAACAGGTCTTTTGAGCTTCAATAATGCAATATCATGGCTCAGTGATTTAGGTTTTCCGTAACTCCAGTGTTTTATCATCTTTTCGATGTCGATATCTTGTTCAGTTCCCATCACGCTATCCCGATAGTGAGCACCAAGTCTTACAAAGAGAACAGAACAGGTAAAAAATATAACTAGAAAACTTAAGAAAGGGATTGCTGTTATCGAATTATCATTATTGATTCTAAACAGAAGTACTGGTTACAAATGAATTAACGCTGGAGGAGTTGATCAATTTACAGAGTCTTTAAATTTACTGTAAATTATTCAATTTACAAACAAAATCTCCTTTTACAGACTTTTTAAAATTGATTTTACAAGATATTTACAAAATGTATATAAAATTCACAAACTTTGTAAAAGGATACTTTTTGTACGATATATTTTACATATTATTTATAAACTCTGTAAACTAATGAACTTTTCCAGTCTAAGGGAGGGAGGGAGGAGGGAGGGGAGGAGGGAGGGAGGCAAGGAGGGAGAGGGGGAGGGAAGCTGGGAGAGCATGATTGAGGGAATAGGAAATGTGCACGAGACAGACAGAAAGAATTCCGGAATGTAGGAAGGAGGAGGGAAGAAGCCAAGAGGGAGGAAAGAGAGGGGGTATTATCCCGATGAAGAATCCTGAAAAATAATGTTCAATACAATCAAAGCCTGAAGAATTCAAGATATAATTCTACCTGACAAAGAAGTCGTTTTCAGTCCTGCCGTAGAGACAGTGGGCAGCGGTTACTACCCATTGTGGGTGTATCAAGGACCCTCCACAGAAATGACCAGGAAAAGACGATTTTGTTCTAATCATGACTTGCCAGGGCCATGCACCAGGAGGGGCTTCTGTTCCACCGACGATTCTTACATTGGGCTTGTATCCACAACTTCCTTTGCGGTGAGAAATGATAAAGATAAAAGTACGTTAAAAAAGGACAACATGGTGGTGTGAAGAAGAACAAGAAGAACAAGAAGAACAAGAAGAACAAGAAGAACAAGAAGAACAAGAAGAACAAGAAGAACAAGAAGAACAAGAAGAACAAGAAGAACAAGAAGAACAAGAAGAACAAGAAGAACAAGAAGAACAAGAAGAACAAGAAGAACAAGAAGAACAAGAAGAACAAGAAGAACAAGAAGAACAAGAAGAACAAGAAGAACAAGAAGAACAAGAAGAACAAGAAGAACAAGAAGAACAAGAAGAACAAG